AGTTAATTTATGGCTTAGAGACATTTTTGAAGCTATTGCCTAAAAGACTGGAATGAAGAAGGTAGACAGAGTTACATTTTGTGTGATAGGCTACAAAAAGATAAATGCGAGTCAAGGGTTAAAAAATGAAAGGGAACTTCGAAACTATGAACAACGAGAAAGTGGCTGTTACTTTCCCTTTGGTTATTCTCTCGCTTCAGAATCCTGAAATACATTTCTTTGTCTCCAGAATTGACTAAATTTCATTTAGCTGAAAGACATCAGTATTAGAAGAAGCAACTCAACAGTACCAAAACTAAAGGAGTAGAGTGGGTAGTAAAGAATTTAACAGACAAGAGATAGCCCAAATACTTGGCTAATATATATATTTTTTCCTTTCTTTCTTTTGTAAAGATACTCCAAGACCTCCCCAGCTTGGCCCCACTTAGCTCACAGTCAGGATTTAAAAATACAGCAGTTTAGAAGCCATAGAAGACTAAAATGCTAGAGTTTCATTCCATAGGTCGTGCGCACACACTAGGGTTTCCAGTTGTAAATTTCTTCTCGATCACGATGGTCCTCATACATTTTATTTTCACTTATAAGCTCTAAGGTACTGCTTAGAATTCACGAAGGATACAGTGAGGGCCAATAAAAGACATTAAAATGGAAAGCCAAGAGGGGGAGATAGTATATTTAATAAGGTCAGAAGATCATCTATTTAAAAACCACCTTTATCTAAGCTTAACCGTCTGCCTTATAATTGCCCAAACTTACAACTGTACTCTAATGATGGATGAACAAGATGAGTCCCCATGATTCTCAGCCTGATCTTATTAGCCAAATGTTTCCATGTCAACTTTTTGGTCCTTTCAGGATCTAGCTCTGAGTTTCGAGGCTGGTGTTTGGGGAAAAACTGCCCCAAAGAGGACGTGAAAGCTCTGAGACAAGGTCAACTGACACAATGGTCAGAGAAACTCTGCAGACACTTGATGGCTTTTGCTTACCAAACTGAGCAGACTAGCATGATTCTGTAGAAGACTAGATTCAGCCTGGCCTTCACTGCGTATATTGTAATCTTTTACTGTCAAAACCATGAACTCTGCAAAATTTATTTCTAGCTTATACTTCTTTCTGAAGCTTTAATTGAAAAGTGGCCAGAGAGGAAGAATTTGCCTTCTTTAAACAAGTCATCTTGTCTTGCCCCAAATGTTATTTCATTGGGTGAATTCTTTAAAATATATACTTGCCCAGTTTTGAACATATGCAAATAATACTATTGCATGCTTATCTATACTTTGCCCGACTCTATAGAGGGTATGGATCAATCAAAACAAAACAAAGTGAATTCAAAACAAAACAAAGTGAATTCACTCATAAGTAAAACCCTTGCTTTATAGAGAAATAGCCCAACTGTATCTACTAGACTTCAGCTCTTGAGAGCTTATACTTGGGAGCAGACTGTACAATAAAGGGGTCCAGGGGCCTTAAAGCAGAAACAGCCTCAATATTGATTTAAGGGGCTATAATCACCCCCATTTCACCTCTTGATCAAGGAGAGCTGTCAACATCACTGCTGAAGTTTGTTAAGAAGCATTTAGACAGCTGGTCCTACGAAAATGAAGCCCTAAGCACCAAATGAGTAAATAATTAATCAGCACCCATAATTACTAGTCCCAAACCTTCCTTCTTCAGCAAAGTTCTTTGACTTCTACCAGCTCCATTCTCTGGGTCAGCTGAGCCCATTCAAAAAGGGTTACAGAGGAATCCAAATAGCAGGCCTTCCTAAAGTTTGAAACTACCCCTCTTGATTGCATTCAACTTGGTGCCTCTTGCACCAGTTTGTAGCATTTTATAATCTTTTTCTAAATCATTCTGTACAAATTATGTGATATGTGCGTGCAAAAACTGCAGGCCTATGTGAGCGCCACTGTGTTGGGCCATCCTTGCGAGATCCCTTCCTGTAATCCAACATCACAGCGTCGCGAGGCTTCTTAGGAGTCCTCTTAATTGCTGCTGGATGGAATTTAAATTCCTAGAAAGCTGACTTGTATTTTCCTTCTTCGACCATGGAAGCCCCATTCCTGCATTGCCAGGCTACCTACCATTCTACTCTCCCAACTTGGTGGAATAAAACACTGGAGGTATAGACTGCTTGTTTATTCAGTCGGGCTGATCCTTATCTTTGTTTGGCTTGGCAGTAAAAAGGCTAAAATGTCTAATGGAAAAGACACCTTTGCAATAAAATCCTCCAGCAAATACTTCAAATGTAGCTTCAAGCAAGGAGGACACACTCTTCATACCCTCCGGCCACTCTGCTAGCACTGCCAAGGGGCGGGTAGTGTTCTATTAAGCCAGGTACTCAGTCCACTTATTAACTTTACCTTTGTAACTGAGAAACAGTGGACTCGCCATTGGATTGCGCAATCATCCACGCACCAGGCTGAGGATAGGAAGATGAGAATTTCTGTTTGGATAGGGACCCTGAGAAACTCCCGAAACTTCTCCAGACCTGCAATTATTAATTTTTCTCTCTTCCTGGCTTCTCATAAGGCAAACAAGAAAGAGGCTAGGCTGTGTGTGTGTGTGTGTGTGTGTGTGTGTGTGTGTGTGTCTCTACCTGGCCTATCCAAAGGACTTAGTGCCTTCAAGGACCTGAGCTAGGGTTCCTGAAATCAGAGCACATTGTCTCCTTTCAAATGACATTGGTCTATTGCCACCTTCTGATCCGTCCCTCCACAAAGAAACAGAGGAGCGTGTGAAGATGAAGAAAGACAGAGTCCCTTTGTACCTTTGGATTTCTTAACAAGAGCACTGAAGAGCATAGACACTGATCCAAAAGGGGCTCTAACTGTGGGGCAAAGGGAAAAAAGGTTTCCTGTCAGACAGTAAGACTGGCTTACTGCAGCATGGAGGTGGGGTAATCTAGAAGGAAAACAACAACCGGGCAAGTTAAGAGTCAAGCACACCGCTAAGTGGGTCACCTGGAAAAAACCACTACCTTCCTCCTTTGAGTTAAATGTCTCAATACCGAATCCTTCTAAGGAGCCCAGGGGAAAACAGTCACACAGAGCACCGGTATCCACCCTGGCTCAGTTTTTTCACAACAATAACACATTGGCACAGCATGCAGTGAAACGGATGAAGGGTTACCTAGCTCCAGGCACAAAAGAAACCATTCAGGACTCTCAACTTCTCTATACATCTTTGGAACACATTTATTACAGAACGACAGAAGCGTGAATAAGCAAATTTGCATTTCCCCCCAAAACTACAGTGTAGAACAGCTCCTTTTCTTCGTGTCAAAAGTCGAGGGGAGGTTAATGAAAATAAAAGGTGATTATGCTACTAGGCACCCAAAGGGTACAGGAGTCCTAGCTATTGCAACATAAACAAATGGACTCAAACAATAGGACTTAGCTAGATTAGAAACTGTTGCTTTGCAGAAGGGTACACTTTATATAAAAGAGAATAGTAATTTTCTCTTTAAAGGAAATTTACCTTTGCTTTGTTTAAAGCAAAGTTCCCGAGGCATGGCATTAGCCATGAAGAAAGCTGTAGAAACAGAAGAAAGATGGACAGATGCCTACTGTGTACCAGGATGACTTCTAGCCCTTTTAATCTCAGGATCAAGGGCTACTGATGTGATGCTTTCTATAAGAACAACTAGAGCCTTATGCTGATGTCTGACCCTCACCAGCAGAGGAAGCAAGGCACTGACACCAAAGCCCTCCTGAGTCTGGAACTCTGGCGATGCATTTGGAAGTGGGCCACTGAGGCCTGCAGAAAGGCCATCCATCCTCTCTCACAGACACACCAGAGCTTGGGGATGGAGGCTGTGGGAGAAGGAGACCCACCTCAGCAGTGGTTCTGGTAACTCTGGAGTTGTCACAAAACAGGGTCCTGCCAAGAATGACAGAGGAGGTCTCCCACCCCGCGTTCTTTGCAAGGGAGTTTTAGCTGGGAATTGGAATCCCCGGAACACCCCACTAGGTGATTTTGCTGGTGTCTTAAACTAGGAGACTTTGATGGGCCACAAAACCAGTGATGGACCCCTCAGAAATCTGTGTTTGTGTATCTGTTACTTGAGTCCCATCAAAAATGTTTACGTGGGAAATATGCTTTGAAACGTCAGGCTCAATAGAGTAGCGTAACGCATGCATGTTGTAAGACTAAATCCTCAAAATGTGCTTTTTCCATGCATACATCACAAAGTTTCTGCTGTGAGAAACTGAATCCACGCCCTCCTATAGGGACACTGAAGACAAGCAACTTTCAAAATAAGCACCTTTGTCCTTGTCACGGCCTCGGCAATTAGCTCCTACACACTCAGGCACAGACGCCAACCAGAAATGGAACATGATGGCCCTGTCTGGAGACTTCAACACATTGGATCATTGAATTGAACCTTAATCCCTAACCAAACACTCAAGAACTAAGCAAGCTTTCTAGGAGTTAGAGCACTTCATGTGTTGAGAAGAATTGTATCAGAATTCTATTGGTTCAGCCCAGAAGTGCTATCCTTGAACAGCTAAAGTATTCTTAAATGTGAGCAAGTCAGATGTTATGATGTGTTTGAGAAATATTGAGTCAGCATTAAAAGTTTCCTCCAGCCTTCTGTGGAATGCAGGCCAATTGATATGAGATGTCAAAAATCCTTGTATATCCTTTCCTGGGGCCACTTTCAAATAAAAAAGACAGATGAAGCAAATTTCCAACCCTCCCATTTCTGTTACATACTAGGTTGGTTGTCATTTTCTATTTTTTTTGTACTATGAAATATTAGTTATTGTGAATACCTTTATGATTTTCTTATTTGGGATGCTTTATATCAACAAGAAAATTTTAATTGCATAATCGTTACTTCTCAGTCTTTTTGGTTTTACACTTAGGTTAGTTTTTTTTTCTGCTCCCTCACCCCCACCCCCCTGTATTCTTGTTCAGGACAAACCTTCCCCTGCTTCTTGTCCTGGGCTTTTAGAATTCTGAGCATTCAGACTGAAGGGGTATTGGTTACTCACCATATCCAGGAATGCCTTCTAAAGGGGAAGGAGTTCACGTGCATCATGTTGGCAGAGTGGACGTCATGAATATTTTCCTTGTCTCCTATGTTACATGTAGTGATTTTCACAGATGAGTCCCAACCCTCTGGCTTGAGCATCGATCATGGACAATTATGGCAACAAGTAATGAATTCTCCCCAAAATCGACCCCCCCCCCCAAAAAAAAAAAAAAACACAAACAGCAAAAACCAGAAAAGCCCTTCCAGGATTGAAAGAAAGAAACATCACAGAGTACTGCAGGTAGGAGTCCATCCATGTAGCTTCCACTAGTCAACACACTAAAATAACCAGTCCAACTGCTAATCCTAAATGATGGCGAGTATTGTCTTGCCGAAATCCAACTGCCTCCAATATGAATTAATGCATCCTCGCAGAAAGGACTATGGAATGTGGACAAAAAGGAGTCAAAAGACAGTTTCTTGTTATCCTTGTTAAAGAAGTGTTAGGAGGGCAATGGAAAACTTCACGCTGCTTTGCCATGCTGTCCTTTAGGGAGGAATACTGCTTTTTCTTCTTTCTTAGACACATATTCCTGTGTGGTCACTTTAACGCAGTGCTACCGTCTGAGTCTGAGAATTGTCCAACAAAGACCTGGGCAGAGGGACTAGACACCACGTAGAGCGCAAGTCAACTTCTTCTCCAGATCTCAGAATCGCTGGTTTTGAATGCTCAAGTAGGAAGGCAATGAGCAATTTCTGCTTTGCAGGACAGGGTTAGTGCCGGCTCCCATCATGACTTCAGAAGGCGCTGTCGTGATGAAATTCATCTGCCGCCTAACCCCACAATAAGGCTGTCTGCGCTCTTTAAGTAAAATGACTAAGCTATCGATTGTCTCACTGTAGATTCCCCTCTAATTTCTTATCAAAAGCGTGTGTGACCTTTTAATATATTGCCTTGGCAAGAAAATGAATTGCACAGCTGCAAGGCAGACGTTGTCTAAGAATTTCTTACTCGGTCGGCTTTCCTTTCTCTCTGTTCTCCTTACCCCCAGTTCAGCTCCCAGATAGATGTCATTTACTCTGATGCTCTGACATCCGCAAGATTCTCATGCCCAAGCTATACAGACCTTGCATGCTTTTAAAACACAGAGTGGCAACAGGCTCCAGCTGGAGTCCCCCCACCACACCGAATTTCCGGCAGAACCTTTGGAATCCTCGCAGCCGCCTTGTCTGCTCTGGGCTGCGCCGCCTCAGCTCTGAGCAGCTCAGGACACTTGCAGGCTCCGTGGTACTGTACATTAACTCTGCAGCGGCCCGCTTCCTCAGCTGCAGACTGCTGCCTGACAGGGGATGTGCTGGCGTCAAGGGGGCCCTCTAGGTGGGTTCCCGGACACTGCAGAGAGGCGCGCTCCTTGCTAGCCTCCTAGGGAGAGTGAGGGAAGCGGGTTAAAGGGAAGAATTGCCCCGTAGGAGCCGATTTCTTTCAGTAAGTAATCACCAGGCAGGAAAAGCTAAAGAAACCTGTAAATAACCTCATAGGGAAATGACACGCTGAACAAATAGATATTATGGGGGAGGGTTTTTCTGTTTGTTTAGTTCTTCAGTGTATTCAGTGAAAAGAAAGGAAACAAAAGAAGTCCAGAGAGAATGTGCAAATAATAGGGTTTTTGGTTTGTTTTTTGATTTTTTTTTTGAACAAAAATATGGGGGCGGAGAAGCCTTACTTACTAGATGATTTGTAACCAGTTAACTACAGATTTCCACACTATGATTTTAGACAGGAAATCCTGGGGAAGTCAGTTCTGCAGAAATCAGTTAGACTTCAATTGCATTTGCGCATGTCATAAAGCTTCTTGTTTGATTAGTGGGTGTATACCTCAGAGGAGAGCTCCCTGTTTCATTTCCTGGAGCCTGCCCCCTTTTGTTGCAAAAGAATCCTGTTCAGCAATCCCCTGAAAGCACCCCATCACTGTTGGTGCCATTTTGGAGCCAGAATAAAATAGTAAACTCTTGGAATAGTAGCTTGGCACTTGAATGGTGCTTGTCGCCTACCAGCCAGAGAATGGGCTTCTCGGTGGTGGTATACACACCATTAATGCGTCACTTTTAGCTTGGGTATTTAAGAAGGCCATTATGCAATTGTTTAATATTAAATGGGATACTGGCAACACTTAATAGATCATGCTACTTATCTTCAGTTGCTTTCCCCAGTGAGTTCTTGTCCTTGCAGAAAGCATTACTTGGAGAGAGGGGAATTCACTTCCCATAAATTCTAAAGCAAGTGTAAAAAAAAAAAATAGTTTGAGAACTGCTATGATTGGATCAATTGATGGTTCTAGGACAAGAACTCATTCCTGGGAAGAGGAAGAACTGAGTGGTTCCTTTAAAGCAATTTGAACTTTGCATGCAGAAAGATGGTGCCCTATAGCACAAAGGAACTTGAGGAAAGTCACTGGCACTTCCTGTGGCATAGGCGATGTCCTTGCAGCACCTTTGTTATGAAGGGACAAAATCTCTCTCCTAAGGTCCTCGGTGATCCTTCTCAGGCCCCTTCAGCTTGAATTGTTCTTAAGAAGCTAGGAATGCTTGAAATCAGGAATCACACAGTCATTCACACTGGTCTATCACAGCATATTCTTGAATAGCATCATTATTTAAGATCTAGGTGTACTTGTAATGTCCTAACTGTCTTCTGAGAGTTTTGTACCAGAATCTCCTTTAGCCCATCCAACAGTGACTAAGCTTGGGTTGTTGATGAAGTGTGCAGGCACTTAGATGGTAAAGGGATCGCAGGAAGACTAACACACCTGAAGCAAGAAGGCTGAGCACACAGCTCTCAACTTCTTTCTCCACTGCAGTAATGATAACGGCCTGGCACTAGCTTAATGTTTTCTAAGATTCTTGCCTATATTATTCTATCTCCACAAAATGAAGTGTTTTACCCCTTTTGGAAGGAACTCTAAGGGCCAGCATTTGCCCATCATCACTCTTTCAGGGAGAAGAAGCCCTGGAGTCCATTCAGGCTATGGCAGCTGTTCCTTCTCTTCTACGGTAGGGACAGTGGGACAAGAATTAACTGTCCCCAAACCTGCACCTACTTCTTACTTAGAAAGTAGCATAGATAGAAACAAAAATAATGTAGCACTATAATTTCCCCTTTAGTAAGCATTTCTCATCTGACATGTTTTGTTTGTTTGAGAACATATGATTTCCATTCTATTCATAGGCCAAAATCCCCCCAAGCTTTCCCTGATAGAACACAGTTTAACATCTGATACTGGCTAGGAATGACAAAAGTGAAATATTTTATAGAGTGAAAACACAGGGGAACTCAATCACTTTGTTATTAAATGAGATTTTTAAATTAAAGTATACTTTGAGAAGATATTTCAATCAATATTCCAGTGTGGGCCCTTGAAATTGAGGCCTCACAAATGTTAGACATACATTCTGCCACTGAGTTATTCTCATCTTACCCTTCAGTTTAATATGTTTTAGGTGGACTTTATTTACTTTTATATGCGTAACTGTATCAAATAAAATAGCAAAAGCTAGATAGTAACAACTGAGAAACTATTCTAAGCACTAAAAACTCTTGAAGCAGAACAAAGCAAAATATAATTTCTCTCACAGTTCAGGGAGCGAAGATTACAATTTAATGAATAACCTTAAGTTGCCCAGTTTTGCAGACTCAGGGCAAATATGAGAGAACAGGTTTGGGTTGTCTATTAGAGCAGTTTTCGATTCGGAAATAGAGTCCGAGTTTTAAGAGGTGTGACCATTAAGTAACAAAATGATAGCTCACGAGACAATATTTAATGGATGTGCGACTTTCAGAAACCAGCAGCAGCGCAGTTTGTCAGCTTAGAAATGAGTTCTATAAGATGAAGAGCATTGAGGGACTAAGGTACAACCTCTCTGTTTTGTTGGGTTCGAAGATAACTGTTACTTTCCACAACTTCTCATTGCAGGCGAGCCATTACAGGTTTTATTGCTGTTCTCAGCCTAATGGCTGCTTCCCATCAATAAATGCTCTCTACTCCCTAGCCACTGACAGGTAGGCCTTGGTGAGGTCCCTGTGGCTGTGCTGCAGCCTCAGTTCAACCAGAAACAAGACTGGTTATGTTTTGTGGCCTTTAAGATTTCAGTCCTGCAAAAAGCATAGGAGTAGTTGACCGTTCGAAGGCCGGACCAGCATTAACTACCCTCGAACAAGATATGTGAGCAAAAAGATGGTTAATTTACTATTTAAGTGAGAGCTAAAACATAGAGCAAATGAAAATGCCTTAGTCAACACTTTCATTGAAAAGCTACTTAGGGCTGGGGAGGTGACTTTCAGGCAAGACAACTGCTCTGCACACATGGGGGCCAGAAAACCAACACGGAAAAGCTGGGTATGGTTACATGGGTGCCTAGTTACTAGTTTTATGGAGGACCAGAGGCAATAGCTCCAGGTCCAGTGAGAAGTTGACCCAAGGGATGGAGCAGAATACCAAATGACTTGCCCTGAAGGCACACACATGTGCATACTCCAAGAAAAACACCACACAGACACTCACACCTATACACACATCACTGTTTAGTCTTCCTTCAGGCTCAAAGAGAGAATTAACTACCCAGCATCGCCACTTCCTTTTTTTTTTTTTATGTGAGAAGGAGGCTGACTCCAAAGAGTGACAGTTTCTCAGCCTAAACTCTCGGGATCTTGACGTTTTGCCCGTGAGCCAAAGTGGAGACAGGGGGTCTCTCTTGGCTCCTTCCTCTCAAAGTTTGCTCTCAAAGAGACACAGAGAGCCAACACCTTCTTCAGAAACTCATCCTATTTCCTTAGGTTTGAAGTCTCCATTCTCTTCGAATTCCTCCAAAAGTCAACATGCCTTTCAGGTATTAAAGCTAAGTTACACCATCGTGCTAATATGATCATAGAACTGTAAAGCCCCACCCTGGTCACTGAACTCGGGTGTTTCCTTAACCCTTCGTCATTTGTATTTATCAGAAACGGGAGGCGAGATGAATTAACTCATTGATTTTACCCAGTGAGTTTCACTTTCGGAGAAACTTTTCATTTTAAATAGCAACAGAAATCTTTGTGTCACCAACATAGGCTGGAATAATTAATAAGCTAATATCAGTGTTACCTTGGATGAAACAAGATGAAAATACCCCTGTGTTTAGACATGAACTGACAAGTACCTAAACCATAATCCTTCGTTAATTTTGTATGTATTTGTAGCCATCTGTACAGTTGTGTTAGGGAGTCTGCCATCTCTCAAGGGACTTGTTAACCTTTGTTCTTCTGTCATTAAAAGACAGTATCTTTGTCCTTTGGTTTATATAAATTTATTATATGTAATATATTAACATATAAAATATCTTTATATATTGTAGCACATAGTATCTATAGTTACTATACTAATACTAATACTACTAATACTAAAGTATGTTATATTGAAGTATATCAAAACTAGATCCATTTGGATCTCTTAACAGATCACAGAAAATCTGAAGACAAAAAGTGGAATTTACATTTTGTCTTGGTGTCTAAGGATGTTATTCCTTAGTTTTAGGTTCTTATTGCTTATGTTTTGTATAATTTTCATCAGTTTCTAAATCTATTTGAAATATCATTTGGTTTTATATATACATCTTCTCTGAGTGTGTGTGTGTGGTGCCTGTACTTACATAAGTAAAATCTGTGTATGTAAAATGTATGTGTATATATCTACACTATATATGTATGTGTATAAACTTACAGTCTTACGTACTATTTTATTTACTGAAATAAATTAGTATTAAGCTATGTTTGGGTATAAAAAATATTTATTAAGTGTTACATATGTTTTAATGTTTTTCTTCTAATATAAATACTGATTTTTCAGTAAGATACAATTTACTTGTTTCAGTGTTTTGGTGTGTTTATGACACCAAAAAACATTATTGGCACTCACTAAATGTTAACCAATGACCATATTAATAGTGATGAAATTCTACTTCTGACAACCGCTAGCAAAGGCTGAAGGCATGCTGCTCAGCACATTCATAACTGAAACAGGAGAAGCACGTTGTGAAGCCAAGGTTTCAACTGCTAAGCATCAGAGAACTGTGTGATGCTTCAACACATCGTGGCTATATTCAATTTCTGTATGTTCTTTTTACACGGTACCAACTGAAAAATTTTTAAAAATCCACCAGAAACCCAT